CCAGCAGAAAGCCACACACTGATCACTTCCCAAGCTTACATGACAAGGTTCAAACACCATTAATAAATCAATTTGAAAAATCAGACTTCTCTGCCCAGAAAGGAAATTCTTACATTCCTTAACATTAAGCTCCGCTGGGAGTGGAGGAACAGGAGCAAATAATTTCCCTTTTTAAGGAGGGGCAGCTTAACTATTTAAAAGGTAATTGGGAGCACAGGAGGAAGTTTGCACATGCTGCTCTTACTGCAGAGGTTTTAAGTTGGGCAATTGTTATCTTCTTACCAAAACCAGAGCAGCATTTTTTCCTGATACAACACCCCTGCCAGATTTCAAGACGTGAGCTCTTGATTGCCCACAGCAGCCGTGCCCAGAGCACGGAGAGGGGCAGGGTGGCACGGCCGCCAGCCACGCGGCAGAGCCCTGCAGGCCGTGGCACAAACCAGCTGGTTCCGTGGCTCGCCAGCCAGGCGGCTCGGGCAGGAGCTACCAGCACAGCAGACTATGCTGGGGCCCCGGGTCTGGCACGGCACGCAGCCCCAACTCCAGCACCAGCAGCCCGGTCCCTCATCGGCCCACGGCGGGCACTTTGCACTGCCTGGTGGGACACGGACCCCTCTGCCCAGGGAGGCTTCGCCTGGCTCCCCACGACATGGCAGGCTGCCATGCTCTGGCTCATACTGTGCTCACTGCCTGTGGCCTCTCCACGTATCCTGCCAGCTCTCCCACCTCTCCTGGTCACCAGGCACACTTGGGAGGTGCCACGCCGGGGGCTGCCACTGGTTTTCTCATCTGTGTGCCTTTCTGGTCAGTCCAGAGCACAACAAACCAACTTGTGGCTCTGCCTCCCAGATGTCAGTGGCACTGTGAGCCCCACTGAGACCTGCAGCTCTGCTTTACCCCCAGCCTCAGGACTGCCCTGTCCTCTTCCCTGCCTCTGTGGCTTTCAGTTAGAACAACCATGCAGACAAGCCACAGGCATCCCAGGAAGGCAGCCACAGGAGTTCTGCCCTTCTGAACCTGAACACCAAGCACCCAGCCATGCTAAGGCATGACACAAATACAAGCAGCTTGCAGGAAGCTCTTCCTTTTCCCTGGTAAACCATTAACCTTTCAGATGACAGCCTTGCAAACTAAATGACTGAACAATTCCCAGGGTCAGCACAGATCTACATTTTCAAAACCTGACATCAACAAGTAAAAGTTGTGACTGAATCCTGGTCTCACCGATAAGAAGATTAAACGCCTGTGACACATCATCTGCAATCAGAGTGCTCCATTTCCCAAAGTATCCATCACAGATTGATAACATCCACGCAAAAAGTTAAGTGCAATTATGTCTGTCACTGTAAAACACACTTCAGCAGCACTGACTGACATCTTGCTTGCAGCTGACAAATTGTGAGAGGGCTGTTTGAATGATGGTGGCAGAGACTCCTGCAGCACCTCGGGAAGGGATGGGAAATGCATTCCTGGACCACAGAAGCCACATGGGCTCACAGAGCACATGACTCTGATGGGAGCCATTGTGTAGGCAGCTGCAAGGCAAAATGGTTCAAGGTCAGCTCCGCATGCACTCACAGAACTCAGGGACTTGCTCCCAGAAGACTGGAACTGGACTCGATGTGGAGAATGTCACACGCAAATTCTGCTCTGGCCTACGCCAGCAAAGCCTGAGGTGTGGGGGGCTCGGCCCCAGGAAGACACTGCTCAAAAGCTTGTGAAGTGCTATTCTGCCAGTCCTCGGCCCATGCGCTGGCCATTGCTGATCCACAGGCTGGGAGAAGCAAGAGTGCAAAGGGCTGGAGAGCTACCTGTTTCTAGCATCTCTTTTGGGGAACACTACCTTCTTGCTCCCCAAAGCAATGTCAGCACACAGCACCAGAGAGTGCAGGCCCTGAATACAGAGCAGAGCTACTGAGGAAAGTTACATTAGACTGCCACTGGTGATTCCAGTCAACAAAAGCAGCTCTTTAGTAGCAGCCTTCTAGGACAGGAAATCTGCAAGTGCATTTCTCCAGACTGCCATTAGTGCCAAGAATCTGTTGCAGGACTGAGAGAAAAGACAGTAAAGCAGCTTGGTGCCTTGCACAACGGCGTGGTTGTGCTCCACAGCACGGCGTGCCATCCTCACTGGGATGCACGAGGGCTGCCCTTAGAGACCATTAGGCCAGATGCCTGCAGGAGGAAACACCAAGAGAAGAAATGGCTGAAAGACAACATACGCAGTCCAGCACAGCATCAAACCAAGCCTCCCCTTGTGCAGTTCTGGCCGTGAGCTGTGACACAAGTGGTGGAAGCAGCAACACTGATGTGCTGCAAACTGTGGTGATCAAACCCCTGCCACGTGACAAAGCTCCAACGTGCTGCCATCCGCTGCCACCAGTAAGTGATGTCAGGGATCAGAGGAGGAAACAAGGCTAGTGCAGAAATACACGTCCCCCACAGTAAAAAGTCCTTCCTTTTAAGAAGGTTTGCTGTGCAGAAGCTCACCGGTGTGTTTTACTGGTCTAGTTGATATCCAGTGTTAGCAATTGTTCTGAAGCACTGAAGCATACCCTTTTGAGTTAAAATTATCTTTATAATGCTAGACAGCAACTGAAGAGAACAGTTTAAATATCTGACCTGCTTAACAGCAGAATATCCACTGTGCTATTTGACACCGCTCAATTTTCTCTTAGCACTCATGGCAACATCAGAATAACTCGCTGCTGTTCCTGTCAGGATATATCCACGTGGAACAAAACAGTAAACTTGCAACCAGTATAATCTCATTTCTCTATGGTGATGTAAAAATAAGAGGTTACATGTAACTACAATCTCCCACAAACATTATGTGTTGAGTAACTTACCACGCTGCTGATAAAGTATTGGAAAAGGCTTTCGAGTAGCATGTGTTCACCATAATAATGAAATATTTGCAGGATGCACCTTTACATAGACTTCTATTTCTTAAAAAATATATTGGATAATAAATAATCAGAGTAAAGAAAAACAGACATGAAAGATGCTTTGAATGATCAGGCTGGTGGTGTAAAAGTTACCTGTTAATCATCCACAGGGCATGAAAGTGAAGCTGGCTACAGACAGGTGGTTTTTACAAGGAGGCATTAATGTAACATTCAATTATTCCACTGCATACTGGCTGTTTTAACTCAGCCAAATTAGAATACATTTTATATTGACTATTTTGACATTTGCTTTATTTAGCAAGTAAAACAAAACTGATCCAATTTCCTTGCAGCCATTGTAAACCATAAACTGTACAACAAGAGGTTATAAAATATATAAGCCTTGTAAACACTTCTTTTTCAGACTGTCGCTGACGCTCTGAGCTCTAATTTTGGCCCCGTTCCCAATAGCTCTGATGCTGCTCTTGCAGCCTTCCCTGCTTGGCCATAAAGTAACCCTTCCACACTTAGTGATTAAAGACTGACACTGACATTCTCTTGCTATGCTAATTTTTCCTCTTTATTGTGGAAATCTGCCCAGGCAGGAATTTCTTGCAGACAGGAAACGAAGATCTGTGTTCTAAAATCAAAACCTCTTTCTCTCTGATCCCACATGGCCTATGCCAGCATGTAGCTTATGTCCAGCAGAGCTTCAAAACAACGTATCATGTCCCAGTGGGACAGGCTGAAATCTCCAGAAGACTGCTGGCTTTTCATCTCTTTTGCCTCCCTCTCTGTTTGAGAAGGAAGACAGTATCTCTGCCTGCAGCACACCTGACAGTACAGGATAGCAGGCAACTGAGCACAGCTCTTGGGGAAAGAAACAACCAAATGCTTTGGAGAGCTCAAAGAGTCACTGCAAGACAGTAAGTTTAAGTTTGGGTCATGGGTGAACATTCAAGTGTACTCACCTGCCTTAAAACAATACCCAATAGCTTTCTCAGGAATGGTTTACCACGGTTTAAAAGCATCACTCTGACCTGACCTGTAAATCAAGACTCTGAAGGACATGAGTATTTTGCACCCATTTGATATAACAACCTTTGTATACAAATTGATCTCCCTGGAATTCCCCTTCGCTGTCTCCTTTAAAATTCTGGCTCTCAACAGTACTGTATGTGTATCTGCAGAATACGAAATGTCTAGTGCAAACATCTATGTTCCCTTAATTAAGCAAAATCCCGACGGGATGTGTAGAGAACTTGCTGTCCCCTGTGACAGCCCAGCTCAGAGCTCAGTCAATGAGCCCATCTCACACTGGATGCTGAGCTTTTGTAGCAAGTGCCAGGAGTGTAAAGTGCTCGGCTTAACTTAACCTCTCTATGGGTGGGTTTGTTGCTTGACACTGTTTTGTCTGGAGAAATCAGTAAGTAAGCTGTCAGTACAGGACTACTGTTACATGCAAGTACAAACACACGCATACACTCACACACACACAAATATCACCCGTAGCACAAGGGAGGACAGCCTGGACAGGCACTGAGGCTGCACGGGCCCAGGAGTGCTGCTCGTGCCAGTCCCTGCACGATGTCTGCTCTGTGAGCTCAGTGCCAGCGGCACGACTGGAGCTCAGGAGTCGGGTCCAACAAAAGAAAAAACAGGGCCAGTATTTCAAAGCATGAGTGGACTGATTGTGGAGAACGAGCAAAACTCGACTCCCTATGCACTAAAATCTATATAAATGCTTCTCCCTCTGTTTGGTCAAGGAGAGAAATCAGCCTAGCTACTGCTCTGCCCACCTTCCAGGTGTGACCCACAGAGACTTGTGGGAAACTACAACATCCTGCACAGTTTAAAGCAAAGAAAAGGTGTAGTTCTCTGTTTCCCTTCCTCTGCAGGCTTTTCTCTTTCTTCTGATTTCTTCACCCATATGCCTTTATACAACAACAGTCAAAGGAACTTCCAGTAGGGAAGCACTTGAAAGAACGACACATTCCCTCGTTATCACATCATGTCTTGTCACTGCTGTGGTACACTGGTCATGGTTCTGCCAGGCAAGCTTAGTGACAATATGCCACAGAGCACCAAGCAGAAGGCTGGGCAACAGAAAGCTTACCTTGGCAGGTTAGGAGCTGGTGTTGAAGATGGTACTTGGGGAGGTGTTGTTGCAGGCTGTGACGACTCATGGTTGCGTGGGACTCTGCCCATCCGGTACCAAATGCCCATGTTGTTCAGCTCCCTGTGTAATTAACACAGCAGACATCAATGCTACAAGCAAATGCTGAACACGTGACCAAGAACCAAGCCCTGACATGTTTCACAAACACCCTGGTCAGTGATAACCAGCGTGGAATTGGTTCCACCAATAACTAGGGAAAAAAGCTAGTTAATTCCTACATCAAACTCAGCAACCCCTGTATAGACATCTCTAACGACAAGCTTCAGCTCTTACGAACTATTACTTAGTAATTATAGGAAAACAGGGTGTTTAGTACAATTGAATTTATGACAACAGCTTCTGGAGTGAGGGGTACTTACCCTATGAATGTGTACTGAGGAGGGGCTTGTTTAGATCGACCCAGGATTCGGATATCACAGATTGCTGCCTCTGTAGAATCTCGAGGGATGAATTTAATGCACAGTCTCTTCTTTCTGAAAGCGATTTCTTCTGTAAAAACAATCCAGGACACAGGGTGGAGTTTATGCATGATTAGGGTATAAATGTTATTTATTGTCTCTCTAGATATTAGGCAGATAATTATGGCAGGAACTGGAGCCAAATAACAGATATAAGTCAGCAAATCAGACAGTGCAGTGCTATTCAGTGACTGGAGAAATTTTCTATCAGGAGCTCTCTGTACACAGCGTGAGATTTGTTACTAGGCACTGTGATAAACCAGTACTCCCTACCACCCTCTGCAGAGAAGATAAGACATCATGTACACCACTGTACTGCACCACAGCACAGAAACAGCAGGTGATTTTTCCTCTTCCATATACCTCTCACATCTGCCTTTTCTTTCCAAGGTAATATTTGCCTTACCAGCCTGGGCAGTTGCACATAAATATTTCTCCCACAAGCAGCACCTCCAGGAACATACCTGGAAGCTGCTGACAACCAGTGAGTTTATTCTGCCAGCTGGAGAGGAGAAGCAGGCAGAAAAAGAGACTGCCACGTGGAATGGCTGGTAGTGAAAGCTGTCTGCACAAATCTCACACATCCCAAGTGTTCACGACCCCTCCTGACTCAGTCAGCAACACTGAAACAATACTCCCACCGTGTCTGTCCAGGTATCTTCAGGGATAAAACAGATCACCAAAGCAGTAATTGCCCAGGATCTCCTACAGGGCAACTGCACTGCACTGACCTGTGTTCAGAGGGTGGATGGATCTGTGGTGTAGCTCTGCTGCTGTGCATCACACAGCTAAACAATCAACTGATGCTAAACAATCAACTTTTTTCCACATTATCCACCAAGAAAAACTCAAGCCCATCAGAGTTAAGGCTTATCTGTAATAACAAACTCATGTACACACACGTAGTCTGTCTGCATGCAGCTACAACTGACACCCGGCTATGGGTCAGTCCCACGACAACAGGTGGGAATGGCAACGGTGGGACTGACAGAGCCCTGCAGTGCTCAGAAACCACTGCTCCATCTCACCCTCAGGAGTCCCTGAGGCTCTCAATGTGAGCAAGGTGAGGTTTGTATTTGTGAATGCAGGCACTTGAAAGACATGACAGAAGTCTATTGATAAGCCGAGAATCTGAAGTGCAGACACTGAATGAAAATCTGGAAACAACCAACAACTACAAACAAGTGCCTGCAAAATCAAAACCCTTCAGTTTAATACGATTAAATATCCTCCAGCTTAAAAATATGCTTCAACAGATGGCAAGCAGCCCTGTCTCTATAGGCTCCCCCTGTATCGTATTCCACCCCTTGGAGAAAGCAATCCAGCCCAGCCTCTGAAAGGTGCTGTCCCCAGCACCAATAACGTACGGGCAGGGTGAGGTGTGTCACAACACAGCTCTGCAGCCACAGGCCTGCTTCCCAGAGATGTCAGACACCTGCATCCCTCAAGTTCAGTCTTCTGCTTTGAAAAGCTAGGGCTCTTATTTGAAGTGTCTAAACCTGATTTTAGGAGCCCATGGTTTAAGGCTTCTGCATATGAAAATTTTCTCAGAACCTAGCAAGTAGTACTGTATTTAATGCATTCACTACAAGCCAGCTGTCACTTCAAGAAGAGCACAGGAGCACGCACTATCACAGACTTAACTCTCAGCAAAATCAGTGCCTCTTACTTGCCTTTCACAGCAAGTGCAAAGCTGACTATTTGCTTTTGTCTTTGGTCTCTCTCACACTTGGCTAGAGTCTGTAGTCTGTAGCAAACTTGGTTTAGTAGCTGGATTCATTAATTACCCATGCTTAACCAAAGTTAATTTTAAGTAAACATATTATAAACAGTCAATTGAAATGTGTTCACTCATGCTAATGGAGGCAGGGATATGCTCCACTTCATTAATACAGACAGTGCCTCTGCTTTAAAGAGCATATGGGTTGCAATCCAATGCATTTTAAATTAATTATGAAGTCCCCTTCCACCTTTCCAGCAGGACTCTCACAAAAATTATAGCAGCACACGCTAAGTGTCAAGCAGAATAAGCCAACAACTCTCTCCAGCACCACATGAGCCCAGGAATTCTCCAGGGAAAGGGAAATGGGCTGCAAAGCCTTTCACTTATAGGCCACAGGTTCAAATCAGAACCAGGTCGGTAGTGACTGAAATACCATCTTCATTTGCTGCAGACCTGGAAGAACTATTCCCTGCAAAGCAGACTCATGTAACTCCTTTCTACTTGTAACTCAGAGAGATTTCATTACTGACGAGCACTGGTACCAGCCCCGCTCTGGAGCAGTCCCCTCACACCAGCACAGTGTCCTGCAGCCCCTCCACACCACAGTCCCAGGGGGCTTGTCCTCGGCCTCTGCGTGCCCAGAGCCCCCGTGCCTGCTGCAGAGCAGAGTGCTGCGGCCAGACACGGCGCCAGGGGACCAAACACACCCTCTGGGAACTGCTGGCCCAAACGCTGCAGCATAGGGACTCCTGCCTTGCAGAAGTGAGGATGGCATTTCCCCTGGACATTCCACTTGTGCCTTCTCTCAACAAGTGCAAACACCCCCCACTCTCCTCAGCACTACCTGCTGGGACACTGGCCTCTGCTCACTCATGGTGGGAGGTGTAAAGCTGCAGTGCACAAACCTGGCACCACAGCACACATCCTTCCTCTCAGCACAACAGCTCTGCTCCCACTGGGCCTAGTCCACCCGTGCAGAACAAAAAACAAACTATTCCATCCTACCTCAGAGCTATGCTGCTCTGGCAGCCGAGCTGGTGACTGTCAGGCAGGAGTATGAAAAAGCCTGAGGAAAAGATTTTGGAAAATCACTGGGCGTTCATCGCTTTGGAAAATCACAGGGTGTTCCACTGCAGCCCAGAGCTGCCCCACCACGTGCACGCAACCCGAGGGAGCGGCAGTGCTGAGAGCATGCCCCTGCCTGGCACACAGCCCCCCTGCCCGACCACGCGGGCACCGGTGGCACGTCGGCTCCCAAGGACTGAGGGACAGACGCCAACTTACGTGAATCGATGGTCTCCTGGATGGGGATGAAACCCACGGGTAAGGTGTCCTTGATATCAATGAGCTTCATATCAACCAAGACGTTGCCTAAATGACTCTTTGGAGAGAGAAAAGAAACAGTTAACTATGACAATGTCACCAAATCCAAACCCAGCTTTTCTCACCTTCTGAACCCCAAGACGCCTTGTTACTGTATCTGACCACCATCTCTGAAAACAGTAAGGAGGTACCAAGCCAGCACTTGGTATTGTCCCCTCTATGGGAACTACCTGATGATTGGCTAAGATATACCAGACAACTTTCAGCATGTACAGCTTCTTACACCTCATCCGCTGCCACACTTCTGGATCCTCAGAAGTGCAACCAACTCTTCCCTTTCACAACAGGGCAGTTCAAAGTATGACCTACACCACCCATCCACTAAGCAGGTCACCTTAGTTCTCACACACTCTGCAACAGCAACATTTCCCTGACAATAACAGCAAAGAGCATTACAGGAAGATGGTTCTTGCAGACACAGCCAAAGTTATTACATGCTTTAGCTAATTAGTACCGAACAGACATGGTTCTAGCTCCAATCACAGGCGTGCTCCAGAAGAGCAGGCCATTTGGAACACAGAACTTCATTTGGGTCCATATGAATTCTGAACCGATGCCTTGTCCTATTAATCAAGGTTTGAAGAGCTCAAAACACAATTCAGAATGACAGCCTCCACAATTGTTTAGAGACCATATTTTCTTTGCAGTTCTCATTAAAGCCAATGCTGCTGCCAATAATCTGGACTCACGTATGGAAGAAAAACACACTTCAGTTACTGCACAGCCTTTATAAACAGAAATGCAATACAGGACAATTAAAATTTCACCCTAAGCCATCAAACCATGACAGTGTGTTTTACTGTTACTGGTTGCTAAGTACCTCCTTTAGTTTTTATCGCCAAAGGATTTCAGGCAAACCTCTATGCTCTGATTATTACCCTGAACTATTCTGAAGCATTATTTACACTTGCAGCCTCAGAAATATGGGGAGATCAGGTCTGAGTTTATTTTTTGGAGGTTCTGCATTTCATGGTCAACCCTCACTAGGAGGACCACCATGCTTGCAGCCCCATCCCACCACACATGGCACACACCCTTCACTCACATGGGGTGCCCGTGGCCAGGCAGCCCCCACATGCCTATGTCCTCACTCTGGCCAGGGGATCAGAGTCAGCAATGCTGGAAGCTGAGAAGCCTGAATGTATCAGTTAACGTGGTCCTGGCACAGCAAACAGTAGATGAAATGGTCACTGCTGATTCATCTTTCATGTTTTATTTATCCAAACTGTCTGGCTGTGTTACATCAGTGTCCAACCTGCAGCACAACCAACGATCATTCCTCCATCAAGAGCAGACAGGTAGGAGAGACGCCTCTGGTGAGTCTGTTAGTGCTGAAACACTGGGTGGGAGTAGCCCTGGTGCTCTGCCCTATGCCCAGGAGGAAAGGGCACAAACCCCCTGTGTGCAAGATGCACCATTCCAGCCTCCTCACCGTGACACTCAGATACCAGCAACATCCTCATAATCTCTCAAATACTGTGAGCTATTGAGAATGATGGTTCTGATAAAGAGACACTACAGACTGCCTTCATTATAAACCAGGTATCTAAGGTGTGTAAACTCTGCTAACTACAACATGTTCTTCAGGACAGACAGTTCCCTGTTTCGTTAAGAAGAACCCTGAGTGATAAAACTTCCAACCCAAAGCAAAGCAACACATCAACATCCAGACAAGCAGAGCCTCTCATCCTGAGGACTGAGGCCTTTTAACCTTCAGAGGTCTCCAGTCAGGCAGCATATCATACGCCTGTGTGGCCACAGAGGACTGAGAGGGTAGGGAACGCTCTTGCTGGATTAAATGGGGACAAGGGTGCTGCTTCCCATGCAACAGGAGAAGGCTGTTCCTCCACCAGTTAAGTCCCCTCCTCCTTCCAGCCTGTTATTATTCCAGGCTGTTATTCCTGCTACTACAGGTACTCCAGGATGAAAAGCACAGTTATTGTCCATCCATGCCAGGAAGCGATATTTCCCATGGCTCTGGAGCTCTGTTTCAATCTAGAGTCAGGCAGGGAAGCGGATGGAATAAAGGTCAAACGCTGGAAATTGGCAGCCCCCAGCTTTCCTGTCAGGACCTGTGACCAGCCTCTGAAGTGGCAGTGGCTTTTCTGTTCCCATTGTTTGTGAAAGCAGGAGTACAAAAGGGTATCTCCACACCCTGACAACCGAGTCACTGTGAATATCCAAAACACGACAAAAGGCAGGATTACCCACTAGATGGAGTGCATTCATTGCAGAATTACAGTCTCTCCATAAAAGAGGAAGTTTTCACACTAGCCTGAACCAAAAACACAGTAGAAGGCACCAGGCTCTCATTGCGCATGGTCTCCTCCTCTCCACAGGGGATGTGGGCAGACAACTGCTGCTCCTCAGAGATTCACTCACTCTTAGTAACCATACTAGAAGATTACAAGTATAGGCTAGCATATGCACAACGTGGGCAAATTTTCAAAAATCAGCACTGAAAACAAAAAAGAGAGAAAAGCTAATCCTGCAAGAAAGTACCTGTGATGCCCCTGCATTCAGAAACTAACATCTCCTTCATCAACAGCACAGCATTTGCTCCTCTGGGTGGAATCAGAAATCCACCAGCATCAGAAGCATCCTGTTGCTACAGCAGGAAACACTGGTGTGAGGGGTTGCTGAAACAGAAGCTTTTTGCCGCTTTTATTGCAGATTTTGCCAGAGATTTCTTTCCATGAGGAACGTGAGGACAAAATGCAAATATCCAGCCCTTGCAGTTTGCCTCCTGACTCGCCTGAACTCAGTGAAATGCCTGCTTGAATTATAATTGGCTCCATAAAATGAATCATCTTATGGGTAAGAGTGTACCAGTTACAGAAGCAAATCATGCAGACACACAAACAGACTTACATTTTCTTTTGAAAATGATCTTGTGAAGCACAGGTATCGTGTGACCTTGGATTTAAATAAGCCATCTTTCCAGAGGTCAGCATCCAAGCCATCTGCTGTTTGTGCAACCTGGAAAGAAGAGACAGAAGGAAAGAGGATACATGTGAGCCAAGATAAAGTTAATATATGTGCAGTACTTCTTCCGCAGACCTCTCCTAATTAACAGCAGCCCGAACTCTCACAGCATCTCATTAGTTTCTTCACAAGGTGCAGTGCAAAGAACTTCCAAGAGAAGGTATAAAAAGAAGTTCTAAAAACACTGTCTCCTGGGAGTCTGTTGATTAAAGATACTCTGACAAAGGCTATTCTAATGAGGAAACAGCAACTTTGGTTACAGTCTCCAAACAATATTTTGGAGAAGTCAGCATATCGAGGCTCTCATTACCACCCTACATGCAAGGGCACACTGGGGCAAGCTGCGAGGAGGGGTTCGTGCAGACAAAGCACAGACACTGCCCAATCTCAGTATTACTTTCACAGAAAAGCCATTGAGGAATTCTGGCTCCTAGGCCAAAAAGCTGGTTCCAGCAGCTGAGGAAAGCCCTGTTCACTCCTGGACTTAGCAGCAGTGCCATGTGTGCTAACCTGTACCCTGCAAACCTCCCTCTCCAATGCAGCCCCATGTCCCGTTGAACCAGTGGCACACACCACACAGCGGGCAAAGAAAGCCCAGCCTGGGCTCTCCCGTGAAGAGGCAGAGGCATGTGCAGGGAGAGGAGGACAGGAGACCTCACCCTCCCACCAGCTCGAGGTGTGGGCATGAGGCAGCACCACGCCCAAGGAAAGGGCTCTGCTCCGTCCAGCAGCCAGGCACTCACACCGTGCTGCTGAGACCCCCTGCCCCAGAAGGTCTGTTATCAAACAACAGAGGAGACAAGAGGGCAAACAGAAGGAGAAGGGTAGCAGAAATAAGATCACCCCACTGGACTGACGTCTGGCTGACGCTCCCAAGAGGAGGCTCCGGCGCGGC